CCAGGGTGCTCTGTCTCAGTGTCCCCACTACCTGACATGCTGACCCCCAACAGGATCTGGCTCCATCTGCCCTGCTTCTCTGCAGGCAAGTTAGATATGGAGGAAATGCCAAATCACAGCCAAAGGAGGTCGTCTCCTAGCCCCATGTACCCCCAGGCCCTGCCCCACACCAGGCTTCCTGCGCTCCTGAAAGGTGCTCTTTGAGTTCATAATGCTGGCCATAACCTCACCACTCCCCCTGCCTTCCCAACTCCTCATGTGGTTGAATGTTACCAACTTTAATCTTCAAGCCAGCCTCAAATGCCACCTCCACCAGCCTCGAGTCCGTTTGGAACCAACCTACCCATGAGCTGAGCATTTGGAATGTTCCAAAATTCTCTCTTGCCTCCTTCACAGGAGTCTGCCTCCCTCAGTGTACAGCCTACCTTGTTCATCTATTTGCTAAAACTTCGACTAAAAATTAATTTAAAATGATTACATGTTGAGGTTAAAGAAGTAGAACTAAAATTCTAGACAACAATAACATGGAAGATAGGAGAGGATAATCCAGAGCTAAAATATTCTGTTTTACATATTTATTTTTTTTCAGATGGCATCTCGCTCTGTCACCCAGGCTGGAGTGCAGTGGTGCAATCTCCGCTCACTGCCACCTCTGCCTCCCGCGTTTAAGTGATTCTCCTGCCTCAGCCTCCCGAGTATCTGGGATTACAGGCACCCACGACCATGCCCAGCTAATTTTTTTCCATTTTTAATGGAGATGGGGTTTTGGCCATGTTGGTCGGGCTGATCTTGAACTCCTGACTTCAAATGATCCACCTGCCTCAGCCTCCCAAACTTCTGAGATTACAGTCATGAGCCACTGCATCCAGCTGCAGAACTAAAACATTATAATATCCTAATATTTTCTTTGTCATCCATGCATGTTAAAATTTTGAGATTATTTTTAATTTTTACATTGGTGTTATTTATTATTTATTTATTTATTTTTTTAGAGACAAGGACTTGTTCTGTTGTCTAGACTGTAGTGCAGTGGTGAGATCTTGCCTCACTGTAGCCTGTAAGGTTGATCCTCCTGCCTCAGCCTCTTGAGGAGTTGGGACTACAGGTGTGCGTCATCACACCCAGCTAATTTTTGTAATTTTTATAGAGATGGGGTTTTGTCACGTTGCTCACACTGGTCTCAAACTCCTGGGCTCAAACCATCTGCCCACTTCAGCCTCCCAAAGTGCTGGGTTTACAGGTGTGAAGCACTTCCATTACAGGAGCTAGCACTTCCATTCTAAAATTAAAGATAAGAAAAAAAAATCGGCCGGGCGCGGTGGCTCAAGCCTGTAATCCCAGCACTTTGGGAGGCCGAGACGGGTGGATCACGAGGTCAGGAGATCGAGACCATCCTGGCTAACACAGTGAAACCCCGTCTCTACTAAAAAATACAAAAAACTAGCCGGGCGAGGTGGCGGGCGCCTGTAGTCCCAGCTACTTGGGAGGCTGAGACAGGAGAATGGCCTGAACCCGGGAGGCGGAGCTTGCAGTGAGCTGAGATCCGGCCACTGCACTCCAGCCAGGGGGACAGAGTGAGACTCCGTCTCAAAAAAAAAAAAAAAAAAAAAAAAAAAAAAAAAATCTATAACTTCCTAAATGGTTATGGGAAAATAGAGGGAATAAAGAAAACATGATACCTTCCCTTTTCCAAAAAAGGGCTAGGAAGCAAAAAGCATAAGTAGAAATACACAAATCACAGGGAATGTAGGTATCTATTAAATAGAAAACCATATAGAAGTCAAAACAAACTAATCAGATCTATATGTATCAATACAAACAAGTCTCAGAAATATTGTACTGAGTTTATAAAATAAGATGCAAAAGGATATCATAGTATGGGACCAGTTTGTAAATTTAAAAGATGACATAAAACAGTGTTATATATTGTTTATAGATACAAATATCTGTAGCAAAATTATAGATGGAAGAATACACACTGACCTAATGATAGTATTTATCTCCGGAGAAGATGAGAGACAAGAGGAATGGGAGAGAGACATGAAAGTAATTGCTTGTTTTTTGGAGACAGGATCTCATACATCACTCCGGCTGGAGTGCAGTGGCACAATCTCAGCTCACCGAAACCTCCACCTCCCAGGTTCAAATGATTCTTGTGCTTCAGCCTTCCAAGTAACTGGGATTATCAGCTCTACTCCGGATGCTGCAATCACAGGCCCGCACTCCTGGAGTAGAAAACTGACATGGTAATAAAAATGAGAAATTTAAAAAAAACTTACATGGGAAACACTTATGGATATAGAGAAGGTGTAAAAACAGCAAGGGTCTGGGCTTGCTGGTGCTCACCTGTAATCCCAGCATATTGGGATGCTGAGGCAGGTGGATCACTTGGGGCCAGGAGTTTGAGACCAGCCAGGGCAACATGGCAAAACCCTGTCTCTACTAAAAATTCAAAAAAATTAGCCGGGCATGAGGGTACATGTCTGTAATCTCAGCTACTCTGGAGGGCTGAGGCATGAGAATCACTTGAACCCAGGAGGCGGCGGCTGCACTGAGCTGAGATCGCACCATCGCACTCCAGGAGAGCGGGCGAGACTGTCTCAGAAATATAAAGAAAACGGCAAGAAGGAAATATGGGGATCCGGGCCTTTGTATGTGCCACCACTCCTGGCTAATTTTTATATTTTCTCTTTTTAGTGGAGACTGGGTTTCACCATGTTGGCCAGGTTGGTCTCGAACTCCTGACCTCAAGTGATCTGCCTGCCTCGGCCTCCCTAAGTGCCGGGATTACAGGCATGAGTCACTGCATCTGGCCTATGAGAGTGATCTTAACTGTATCTGCAATTTTTTTCCTTAAAAAACAAAAAATAACTTTTAAACAACATGTAACTAAAAGTTAATGTGTTACATCTGGATTGACCACAAATGGGTGTCTGTTATGTTTATTTCTGGATTTTTCTGTGCATTTAAAGTGTTTAATAATTAAATCTCTGTATTTTCTATTTCTTAATTACATTTTTCTAAGGACATAGAGATGATGCAGTCCTGCTTTCACAGGTGCTGGCTGAAGTGAGATGCTGGTTATTTGTGTGCCTAGGGTCCCTCCCAGCTTCATGCTCTGCCCTGCTCCACTGAGTCCAGTGGACTGCACTGTCCAGGCTTTCTTCCCAGCTGGCTTTCGGGTTTAGCCAGTGGGTGGCTCTGTGGGAAGATGGGAGGGTGGGATTCAACAGAGGTCAGGGTAGCTCTTCCCAGCTCTCTTCCTGCTTTGGCATGCTATATCTGGCTGTAGCTGCATCCTAGGTACAACTCTTACTCACTGGGCTCTGATAAGTGTTTCCTTCCCTTGTCCCAATAGGCCCTGGAAACAGGGAGGGTGGTAATAGGTTCTCAGTACTGCTAGTCTCTAGGTGTCCTACCATACCTTGTTTGTTACCTTATACAGTCCAGAAACTCTGTGAATAGTCCCTTCATTAAAGCCTTTTCATTTGAACCATCTGGGATGACACAAGAAACACTGTGAAAAGTAAAAACTGCTTTTGTTTGTTTGTTTCAGAACTCCTTTGCTGTGGATGAGAAGATTGACTAGGTGACTTGCTCCAAGTTCAAAGCCTGTTTGCATAAAACAAGGACTTGTTTGTTTGTTTGTTTTGTTTTGTTTTGTTTTGAGATAGGGTCTTGCTCTGTCGCTCAGGTTGGAGTGCAGTGGCGCAATCACGGTTCACTGCAACCTCGACCTCCTGGGCTCAGATGATTCTCCCGCCTCAGCTTCCTGAGTAGCTGGGACCCCACAGGTGTGCGCCACCATGCCCAGCCAGTATTTTAAAATTATTTTTGTAGAGACGGCATCTACCTACGTTGCCCAGGCTGTTCTTGAACTCCTGATGTCAAGCAATCCTCCTGCCTTGACCTTCCAAAGTGCTGAGGTTACAGGTATGAGCCACCGTGCCTGGTCACAACTTGACTCGAGAACACATGGTTGACAACATCTTGATGAAAAGGGATATGGCTGGTCAGGCATGGTGGTTCACACCTGTAATCCCAGCACTTCGGGAGGCTGAGGCCCGTGGATCACCTGAGGTCAGGAGTTCAAGTCCAGCCTGGCCAATATGGCGAAACCCAGTCTCTACTAAAAATACAAAAATTAGCCGGGTGTGGTGGTGGGCGCCTGTAGTCCCAGCTACTTGGGAGGTTGAAGCAGGAGAATTGCTTGAACCCAGGAGTCGGAGGTTGCAGTGAGCTGAGATTATACCAGCCTGGGTGACAGAGTGAGACTCTGTCTCCAAAAAAATAAGGGATATGGTTGATACACACAGAATGATCTGCTCTCCTAAGACCTTGTACCCTAAGAATTTTATGACTTATCAGATAGTATCAGTGTGTTTTATGATATATTTATTCATTTACTCGATAAGTTTTGATTGAGTGCTGCTCTGTACCAAGATCTGTGTCAAGATATGAGGATACATTGTTGTGTGAGAGGAAGTCCTTATGTGCTGGGAGCTTACGGTAGACAGGAAGACATGCAAACTCATTATGAAGAAATATGATAAATGTGAGGCGAATGGAAGCAGAGGGTGCTCTGGAGTACCCAGGAGGGTTATTCAGCCCAGCCTTGTACTATCAGGGATAGTTTCCCAAAAGAAACGACATCTAACCTGAGAGCTGAAGAATAAATACTAGTTAGCCAAGTTAAGGAGGATGGGTAGATGGGAGGGAGTGAGTTTTAGTTTTAAGGCATTCTAGGTAGAGAGAAAAGCAATTTGGGCAAATCCAGGAGGGGATAAAAATCATTTGGGAAACTGGAAGTCAATCTCTTGAGTTGCTTGCAAGAGGAGAGGGTCAGAAAAGTTAGAAGAAAAAAAACAAGGATCGGATCACAAAAAGCCTTGTAAGTAAGATTCAGGGTAGGGGTATTATTATGAGGTCAATACAAAGCCATTAGATCTTTCGAGTAGATGGTGTGCAGTGTAACTGTATTTGCATTTTTAAAAGATTACCTTGTCTATACGGTGAGAATAAACTGCAGGTGGATAAGAGCAGAGGCAGCTCCCTTAGGAGGTTGTTGCTGTAGCCCAGGCCAGAGATGATGAGTTGGACTTGAGGCTGGAGCTGGAGAGAAGCAGGCAGTGTAGAACATATGGCTAAAGCAGGCAACCTGAAAACATTCAGGAAATTATTGTTGTTATAAGATGGCCCGGCAAAATGCAAACTGTTCTGTCCTCATTTGATCTCAGCTGGACTGTGAACTCCGGGGGAACAGGGACTTTCTGTATTCATTCCTGTTTCCAGTACTACGGAAGTGCTCAGGAAATGAGTGTTCTTCCTAAGTGAGTCTCAGTGACGTGCTGTCTGGGTAGAGTGGTAACCCTCACACCTTTGCTGACCCAACTTTATTCGGGAAATTCAGTAGCGATTCTGAAGTCGATGTGTAGAGCTACTGCGGCAGGGACGTTAAGGTGCAGAAGCTTTACCCAGTTCACAGTGCACGCTGAAATATTCGGGTTGTTTTTTCCTGACTCAGTTCTCTTCTGCCATCTGCTGGGACAGCCTTTCACAGCACATCAAAGCAAGATCACCTATGAAGACAAGCCTAAAAACTTGGTGGGAGCCACAGTGGACAATGCCTTGGATAAGTTTACAACTTAGTTGGAGAAGCAAGTGTCACATCCACACCACCGTCCATTTGAAGCTAATCATCAGTATTTATTTCCCAAAGACAAAATGTCTTTTTTTTTTTTGAGATAAGGTCTGGCTCTGTCACCCAGGCTCCAGGCTGGAGTGTGGTGGCACCAACATGGCTCAGTGTAGCCTTGGCCTCCTGGGCTCAAGAGATCCTCCCACCTCAGCTCCCCAGAGTGCTGAGATTATAGGCATGAGCCACTATGCCTGGCCTATGCAGACTATCTTAAATATCTGTATTCTCCTATCAACCTTATGATAGCCATAGATTGTAACAATTTCTAAGCAAGAAAACAGAAATACAGAGATTTAAATAAAAAGCCAACTTTGAACAATAAGTAAGTGGCCGAGCCAGGACTGAAGCTTCCTTGACTCCTAGTTCCACACTTTTCTCACAACATCTTAACATCTCAAACACAACAAGAGAGAGTTCCCACAGGCGGAGACTGGCTGCTGATCTGCAGCAGGGACAGTGTGGGCGTAGGGTGAAGGCTGACAAGGCCAGTGGCTCCCTGATGTGCAGAGATGCAGAATGTTGGCATGGGGTGGGGTGGAGTGGGGGAGAGGAACAGAAACAATTCTCCACATTCCATATTCCCCAAAGATGTGTCAAGGGGATGTTTCTGAGGGATTTTTTTGTTAAGTGTATGAAAACTAATAGAACTTGAATCTTTGGTGGATGTGGTCAAACAAAATAGACCCCACTATTTTTGTTAGTGAGTCTGGTTAAGACTAAGAAACTATTGCACCATCCTTTTCTCTTTCTACTTCTCTCTCTGTTTGTTTTTGTTTGTTTGTTTGTTTTTTGTTTTTTGGTTTTTTTTTTTTTTTGAGACAGCCTCTCACTCTGTCACCCAGGATGGAGTGTAGTGGTGAGATCACAGGATCACAGCTCTGGCTGATTATTTTTTATTTTTGTAGAGATGAGGTCTTGCTATGTTGCCCAAGGAATCCTCCTGCCTTGGCCTCCCAAAGCACTGGGATTACAGGTGTGAGCCACCGCACCTAGCCAACTTTTCTCATTTAAACTTAAGTTATTCTTATGTGAATACCCAAATATAGTCTTGGTGTAAAACAATCCAAACATTCAGGTAATGCTAAACTTTTCCTTTACTACAAGTTCCAAGCCTTTTCCCAATGACAACCACAGTCAGGAGTATGCTTCCAGATCTTCTAGGAAATACAAGTGTTCCTATGGGAGCATAGAGTCTTGTTTAGTGTTTTATCTCCCTTACATGAATGAGATCTTGCTGTACTGTCCTGCCTCTCGCGTTGAGAGGCCCACACTCCCCCGACTCAGTGGGAGGTGCGCTTTGACTTGTCCGGGCTACTCCTGGGAAGTTCCACTTTAACCCCTGAGAACAGACGTCCTCAGTGCCCTCCTGCTCCCATGCTATGCCCCCCAGCTGCCAGCTCCCCACAGCTCTCGCCCAGCTTCCTCATAGCTTGTTTCTACCCACCCCCCCTTTTTTAAATATTGTGGCAGGATACATATAAAATTTGCCATTTTAACCATTTTAAAGTATGCAGTTCAGTAGTATCAAGTACATTGACATTGTTGTGCTACCATTACCATCGTTCATCTCTGGAACTTTTTCATCTTCCTCAACTGAAACTCCATTCCCATTAAAAGATAACTCCCAGTTCCCCTCTTCAGGCCTCTGGAAACCACCTTGTACTTTCTGTCTTATGAATTTGACTACACTACTCTAGGTATTTCAAGTAAGTGAAATCACACAGCATTTGTCCTTTTGTGACTGGCTTATTTCACTTAGCATCATGTCTTGAAGCCTCATCCATGTGGTAGCCTGTGCCAGAATTTCTTTCTTTTTTAAGTTGAATAATATTCCATTGCATGCATGTACCACATTTGGTTTATCCATTCTTCTGTTGGTGGACACTTAGTTTTCTTCCACCCTGCGGGCTATTGTAAGGCTGCCATGAACATAGGTGTACAAGTATCTCTTTGAATTCCTGCTTTCCATTCTTCGGGGTATATGCCCATAAGTGTTGCAGCAGCTTTCTGAGTACATTTCAGGCTGTGGGTGTCCTCTTCATTTGAATGCCCCTTGCATTTTGGCTACTTACCATAGTTATCTACTGATCTGGTTTGGACTTACGTTCCTGCTCAAATCTCATGCCAAATTGTAATCCCCAGTGCTGGAGGCGGGGTCTGGTGGGAGGTGATTGGATCATGGGGGTGGGTTATATCCAGTTATATCACTCCTTCTCCAGTTATATCACCATTTTTGTTCCTCAGTTGTTACCAGTTTAACCTTTCTCATTCCATTAATTATTGATGATATAACTTCTCTTCCCATTTTTGTATCATAAATGGTTTAGCACCATCCTTTGGAGTTCTCACAAGATCTGGTGGTTTAAAAGTATGTAGCCCCCGCCCCCACCTCCACTGCCCCCACCGCCCCCATCTCTGTTCTTCCTGCTCTGGCTGTTTGAAGTACCTTTCCCTCTGCTTCACCTTCCACCATGATTGGAAGCTTCCTGAAGCCTTCCCAGAGGCAGAAGCCACTATGCTTCCTGTACAGCCTGCAGAACTATGAGCCAATTAAACCTCTTTTCTTTATAGATTACCCAGTCTCAGGTATTTCTTTATCACAGTGTGACAACCGACTAATACACTCACCCACCAAAGGCACTCCTTTTTCCTTTCTAGGATAGCTATAGGCTTAAACAAATGAAGATTTTGGGCAGGATAAAGAGTCTGTTCTCAGACTCCTGGACTGTAAGACTGAGTTCAAATGTCCCTGCCTCTGTTGTCTTCCCTGACCAATCCCTAGGGACTGAGTGCCCATCTCCTTTTCAGTGCAGGTCCGCTGTGTTCCTTCCGGCACAGTGTTGCTGCTCTTTGTTTAGAGTTCATCTTCCTCATGAGACTGTGAACCCCTTGAGGGAGAAGATTGTGCTTTTTTTTTTGTCTTTGATCTGCTGTATTGTACATAGTGAACAGTGCCTGTTTTAAATTTTTAAATTAAACAACATCTTTAATGGTCGAGTGGGGTGATTCACCCCTATAATCCCAGCACTTTGGGAGGCTGAGGCAGGCAGATCACTTGAGGCCAGGAGTTCAAGACCAGACTGGCTGACATGGTGAAACCGTGTCTCTACTAAAAATACAAAAAGTAGCTGGGTACAGTGGTGCATGCCTGTAATCCCAGCTAATCGGGACGCTAAGGAAAGGAGAATCGCTTGAACCCAGGAGGTGGAGGTTGCAGTGAGCTGAGACTGTGCCACTGCACTCCAGCCTGGGCAACAGAGTGAGACTGTCGAAAAAAAAATCACACACACAAAAACAAAAATACAAAACAAAACAAAAATCACCAAATTTTAATAATTATATAGTTAAAAAATTCAAACAGATAAAAGGTTTATAAACCTTAACTTCCCCCTCCTAGTCTAGTACTGCTCTTCAGAAGGAAACACCTCTGTTTCAATTTCTAGTCCTCTGACTCTGAGTGTAGATCAGCTTCTCTAAGTAGTAAAGTTGTACCACTATACAACCAACCCTATAGGGCTTTATCTACTGGTTTCTGCCGTGGTTGATGAGAATTTAGTTCACCTGTACCACCACCCACCTTTCCTGCCCCAATTGGTTCCAAGCCTTCACCCCTCCCTATCAGGCCCACTGCCATGTGACTTTGCAGTCCTGCCCACTTGCATATCCCCAGATTTTGACTTTGGGCTCAGCCATGTGATGTGTTCTGGATAATGTGATGTTCTCAGGTACAATGTAAGTAGGGGTCAGAAAAGTGCTTGTGCGCCACGCGTAGTAGCTCACGCCTGTAATCCCAACACTTCGGAAGGCCAAGGCAGTTGGATCACTTGAGGCAAGGACTTCAAGACCAGCCTGGCCAACATGGTGAAACCCTGTCTCTACTAAACATATAAAAATTAGCCGGGCATGGTGGCACATGCCTGTAATCCCGGCTACTCAGGAGGCTGAGGCAGGGGAATCACCTGGACCCGAAAGGTGGAGGTTGCAGTGAGCCATGATCGCACCACTGCACTCTAGACTGGGCAACTGTGTGACAGAGTGAGACCCTGTCTCAAAAAAAAAAAAAAAAAAAAGAAAAGAAAAAAGAAAAGTGCTTGTGCAGTAGGGTCTCTTCTGTTTTACCTCTGTCATCACCTGGCTAGCCTTCTGGTCTTGGGAGAAGGATAGAAAATGTAGGGCAACACCATCCCAGGGACTTATAGACTTGCGGACAGAAGCAAAGCAATCTGGCCAGACCCAGCCTAGATCAGTTGAATTACAGTATGTCTGCAGATTGGTGAACAATCATAAATTATTATTGTATCAAGCCAGTGAGTTTTGGGGTAGTTTGTTATGCAGCAGTAGCTACCAATACATACCACAATCTACCTTCCCAGTCTCCCTCTTCCTTCTCCAGTTGTATCATCATTTCTGTTCCTCAATTGTTACCAGTTTGACCTTTCTCATTCCATTAATTCTTGATGGTATCTCTTCTCTCCCCATTTTGTATCATGAGTTTATTTTCACTCCTCTTCCTTCCACCTCCACTCACCACTTTCCTAATTTCATCAGGAAATTCCAACAGCTGATTTCCATCAGGAAATTCCAACAGCTGATTTTTGTCAGCTACATCTTAGCTTTTACACAGAAATGTCTGATTTAATTAACATTTTGTTTTGTAACAGAATGTTTGGACACCTGGTGCTTTCTAAGTCCATAAGGTTTCCATGGAAGAAAATTGACAAAAGATTCTTTCAGAGCAAACCCACAATTTCCCATTAACTAGTTTAGTGTGTTTTTCTTCCTTGCAACCAAATGACCCCAGATTAGTATACCCTTAGTCCCATCAAAGCTCCTGGGGACCAAAATGTACGTAGCAGGAAGACAGTATGGCAGGATGAGACTTCTTTGCACTGAGTTATGTTGGGTTTTAGCAGTGGTAATAAAACCCTGGGATGTTTCCTCTCTGACAACTCTTTCCACTGTCACAAACATTTGTGCTAGTAGCAGATGGATAGATCACATCAATTTAATGTAACAACTGTACTTTACAAGGCGCTGTCTTA